ATAGGATATACTAGATTTAGAAGAATAGCTAGGTAGAACGATTACTGCATAACGAATTTTATTTAACAAAAACATCACAAATAAAGATAATGACATTGATAGTAATTTAATTCAATTTTTATCTATTTATTTTATACGAATATTTGTGATGGTTTCTTAAAAAAAAATCGTTTCACAAATCATTATTCGGACAACACTAAAGTCAAAGTTTGTCCTTAGGGATGGCAATCCAACCCACCTCGTCCCGTTTGAGACGGGGATGAAGTACGAATTTTTTTTCCGAACGAGGCACAAGGCGGGGATGAGGAGCGAAATTTCACTCTGAACGAGGCGGGGGTGGGGATGGGGACGGGGATGGTAATCGCTGCCCCACCTCGGCCCATTGCCATCCCTATTTGCCCCATTGATATGGGCCTTATTTGTGCATTTTTTAATCATTTTTTGTTTTAAAATTTTAAGATGTTTTTGACATTAAAGTTTGAGTATAGTTATGGTTATAGATGTGGATGTAACTCTAATTAGAATAAAAGATATTTAGTTAAATAAGCGAGTTGGCGGTATAGTTAGCAATAAAATTATGAAAAGGAAATAATCAATTATTTTGAATTTTTATTTTGATGATAAAATTATTTTAACAAAGTGATAATTAAGAAGATGTTTCAAGTAAGATGAAAGATAATTTATTATTAGAAAATATATTCATTTAACATTATATGTGTAATTATGTATAAACATAATGGGTGTGTGTTTTTTTACCATGCTCAATAGCATTATAAAATTTACACTATATTATATCTTCATATAATTTTAGAGAAACTTCTATTACTGTAATTTAATTTTTGGCATGAGAGGATGAATGGGATAGATATATAAAATGATATAAAAAAAATCCAGAAAGATTTGAAAAAAAAAAAGAAAAAAGAAAACATGCACTGTTGTGAATTGTGTATGAAGAAGCGGCATAATGGTTAATAAGTAATAACCATTATACCGTTAGAGATCAATGGACCAAACCAGCAGAAGCTCCAATTTGGAGCTTCTGCGTTAGGCCATTTTTTGGTACGGGCCCACGTGGTTATCATGCATGACTTGCATGATGACCAAACCTCTGCGGTAGCTTTTGATCCCAAAAGCTCCCATCGCCCAGCCGACCCTTAATGCCAAACGGGTAGCCCATTCATTAGCACAATCTGAACAGCCCATAAAAAGGACCCAGTTGTGGTCCCATTGGATACTATTTTTAAACTTATATATATATATATATATATATATATATATATATATATATATATATATATATATATATATGAATGACCTTTTTTATACAAATTTCTCCCCGTTTTTTATATCTAAATCGTATTTTAAAGCTGCATTAAACCTTTATTCTGTTATGTTTGATATTCCGTGTATTAAAACAGTATTGTTTGATTAGAAAAATTATTGAATTAAATTTTATAACTGGAGTTGCAATTTATTTGAAATTGCACCAAACCACACCACAAATGCTTTCAAAATTGAATGTCAATTTCTTTTCTCCCATTCAGGGATGATTATGTATGGGTACTTAATCTATTAATTTGATTTTTTTATTATATTCATCAAAAAAATATTATATTCGTTATCTATTTAAGAAACACTCAATCCATACTCAGCTCATATTAGTTTACTCATCCATTTAATACCCATTTAATAACGATTAAATTTAATTTGTTAAAAATATTCATTTTAGTTCTTATATTGAAAATTTAATTTTTTTTGCATTTTAGTAATTTATTTATAATTTTTTTAAAAAATATTTTGATTCTTAATTTTTAAATTTAATGCAATAAGATCCTAGCATATTAATAAAAAAATATAAATAAATTAGTAAGTATTAATACAGATAAAAGGTAAGTATCTCATATTATAAAACTATATTAATAGATATATATTTTTTCTATTATCTATTTCAATACTCATTACATATTTTTAATATGTATTTATTTGATACGAATAAAATGAATATTATTTTGTATACCATTCATATTGTCATCCCTATTTTCAATTAGCTCAGAAGAGGGCGGGGTGGACGTTGGATCAGAATTTTAAGGGTCTTTTCTAAAATTTGGGCCATTAAAATAGAAAAGAGAAGCAAGATCCAGCAGCAGGCTGCTGGGCGGGAAAAAGAAGCATAAATGGAAAATGAAAAAAAAAAAAACAAAAAACAAACAAACAAACAAGAGAGATGAACCTTAGCTGAAAAGATTGCGACTCGAGTCAAAGATCTCCCCTTCGGTATGGGCCCTTTTTGTGCTTTTGCAATCAACTTTTTTCATACCCTTTAGCCCATTCATTAGCTAAATCTAAACTACCTACTTATGGACCCAGCTATTGCTCATTAGCACATGCATATTAATTTCTTCTGCATGACGGTGCACGACATGTCATCGATCATAATTCGAGTAAATTATGAATTAGTCCTCTCATTTCGAAAAACAAATTAATTAATCTTTATTGTTTTAAAAAATATTTATTTAGTCTCATTTTTTAAATATATTTTTAAATTATTTTTTCTTTTTCCAATTTATTTTTATTTTTATTTTAAAAAATAAAAAATGAAAAATATATAAATATTGATGAGAAAAAAATTTGTGAAATAAAAATAACTGCTAAATCAAACATGACCAAGTGATCAAATAATTAAATAATAGTTTTTGAAATAAAAGAGACTAATTTATTTATTTTCTTGAAATTAGAAAGATTAATTTATAATTTATTCATCATAATTCAGTATTTTGGTTACAATGAATTCCAGATTGTTATTTTTACATGAAAAAATAAAATCATTTGGGGATGTGGAATACATGTGTGTAGTATATCTTGCTTTCAAAGGAAAGTTATGGTCATCGAACCATATAACAATGAGAATTGTTGTTTTTTTATCATTAAATCTCATTCCATTCTTTTACGAATTTGATTTGAAATTTTCAAATAAAAATTTCAAATCTTAACAGTCAAACTATTTTTATTCAGAATTGATTGGAGTTGTTCCAATTAAAATGGCAACAAAAAAAAACAATTTTATGTGATATTTGAAACTTGCAATCTCGTGTCTCGTATGGATGATTAAGATTTTTTTATTTTTTATTTGGCGTGCATTACATTATAAGAGATAGACATCTCCTGCTAATGTCAGGTATACTGATATTTAGATAAAAAACAACAAGGCTCAAATTAAGAATTAAAGATTAGATAATCAAAATTATCATTTGGCACCGTCACCGTGAAAATGTATTTAACAGCAACCAGCCACAATCCGCAGTAGTACAAATTTCAAGTTTAGTCCTCAGCAATGATTGATGGCAAGTGATTAACAGCGATCCTGACCAACTGCGTCCAGCCGTCCACAACTTCGTAGCTTCTTAAATTGGAAGCAAAAAGATGCGAAAAGAGGGCTACAATCACATGGTGTGGGACCAAATGACATATAATTTGTCTGCGCATTTGGTCGAAATCATAGAAGATGATAGGAGAAAATCTAGATTTGGGCACCAAGATGTGAATTCCAGCAACATCGTCAATGGATTTTGTATTTCGAGGGGGTGTATAGGATCCTTCTTACCAACAAGCGCACGTGGATTAGATGATATCGGGCCAGATGGCACTCTAATTACGGGCACACGTAAGTAAGGCATGGTCCTTTCCATGCAATGGAATCACGCTACATGAGGGTCAGAGGGTGACAAGTTCGCACCAGAGACTACTGTTGGTTGCAACAAGTGTTCCTTCATTTTTCAATAACCTTCGACGAGTTGGTGTTTTTTTTAAAAAAAAGTTCAGTTGCCGATTTATCATCGTAGATTGAAATATCGTTGGAGATTATTGGAGATAAATTTTAGTGAATATACCAAGTTAAATTAAGTGCAGATGACTTAAAAAATTAGGTTCAAAGATATCCTAGTTATATATATATATATAAGAGGTGTTGAAGGTGTGGAATTTGGTGCAGATTTAGCAAGATTTGGATCAAAATTTAGTCACTTAAATCTATGACTGAATTCGACCATAAAGTCAAGAAATTTAATCTAAGAGTTTGACTTTGATGAAAAGTTTAAACAAATAATTTAATTTATTATGGATTCTTGATATCAGCTTACGCAAAACTCTAATATATATATATATATATCTTATTAGGAGACTGTATACATACACGTTACAGTAAAATATCAAGCATAGCTAATGTAGAAGTTGTAATAAATTCCAGCGATGAATCCTATTGAGTTTACTGCATTTGTAATCAAAACTTACTATAGAGTAAACAAATCAATTTCAAAGTCTAAATATTCAGATCGAGTGTGAGGTCAAATTAATTCGAATTCCGATTCGTAAATCCTATAAGTAATATGTTTCAAATTCATCTAAACGTTTGTCCGATTTCAACCTAATGGAATAACTCGATCTCAACATACTTAGAATTGTGAAAGTCATAAATAGGACTCCTCCTAAATCCAATTAAACGAGGCCTCAAATTTAAAGCTCTAACAGATACCAATTTACTACGATCTTGTAAGAAAATTCTTTATTATTGTTATTATTATTATTATTAGAATGGTAAGGAAATGTCCTTTCCATCGAGAGATGCTTCCTTTACCTCTTCGGGAAATTTGGTTTAGCTAAACAAGTCACATGCTAATAACCAGGCCCAAACCAATGAACCCCCGGATGGAAAATGAAGAGTAATGACTCAAATTACATAAATGCCAGTGCCATGAAATGTGGAGAAAAATCTGTCTCACTTTCCAGAGGAGAGAGAAAGAGAGAAATGCATCAGATCAGTGAATATTTAACGCGATTTCTGCTGACCTTTTTCGTCCCCTCACACTGCCCATGTGCACTCTGTCACTCACTGTTGTCCTCCTCATCTCGCTATAAATATAACCATTTCCTCTCTTATATCACAAACGCTTCACCCCTCTCCTTCACAACACAAAGCCTAGCTTGTCTTCCTTTCTTTTGTGAAAATGGCTGTGGCGATTTCACTTTTGCTTGCATTATTCTTGCTCTGCACTGGCTCTGCTTTAGCTGCTTCTTACATGGAAGGTATCCCATTTGGCTTAGACAAGGAAGAATATTTACCATACTTGTGTGTTCATTTGAGTTGGGGTTTTTTCAGCTTTTTGCTCTTTCTTTTTGCATATTTTTTACATGCTTATAATACTGCAAAGTTTAACTTGTTTGTTGGGTTCTTGGCAGTTAATACTGCGTTGTTTAATTTGTTAGACTACAAGGTTGAATCTTAATGCTTCATACTTATAAAACCTTCTTTCTAGGCTTTAATGTTTCTACCTGTAAGATTTGTTGGTATTTTTTTTTTTACCTATTTACAGTTTCCCTTCCATTTTCAAAGATTCACCAAAAATAATGTAGATTAAATTTAGATTTAGAATGGCGAAAAAAGAAAGATAGATTTAGATTTGGTTCTCTGCATTCTTTAGCACATTTCTCTGCTGACTACTGATTTTGCTTTCTCATTTTCACTTGATCTGCTCTCTGTCTTTAGGATTTCTAAAAAATGGCAACTTTGAGGTGAAGCCAAAACCTGGTGCCATCAACAAAACAGTCCTTAAAGGAAAATATGCTCTGCCCAGCTGGGAAATCAATGGCTTCGTAGAATACATCTCTGCTGGGCCACAACCTGGTGGCATGTATTTTAATGTGGCTCATGGTGTACATGCTGTAAGGCTAGGAAATGAGGCCTCAATATCTCAAACAATAACGATAAAAGCAGGCTCTCTTTATGCCCTCACATTTGGTGCATCTAGAACTTGTGCTCAAGATGAGGTGTTGAGAGTCTCAGCTGGTACTGTGTTTGGGGACCTGCCTTTGCAGACTCTTTATAGTAGTAATGGTGGAGACACTTATGCTTGGGGATTTAGACTCAATACCACTGTTGTTAAAGTGACATTTCACAATCCAGGGGTTCAGGAGGACCCTGCTTGTGGACCACTCATTGACGCAGTTGCTATCAAGGAGCTCTTTCCACCAATGCCCACAAGAGGTAATGATCACTAACGCTATTATTATGTTCTGTTCTTGGTATGGAGAATTTGTGGCTTGGTGTCTTTGTTGTATTTTTGTTTTCTTATCTGATTTTGTTTTTTCTTGTTCATTGTCTGTATCACTTGTTTTTATGGGATTGTATGCTGAGGCTGTTGCATATGTAGGTGCTATGTTTTATTGGCTTGGATCTTCAGGTTCAAACGATTTAAATTTGATGCTCTTGCCTCGGACATTGTTTAGTTTAGTGGATCTATCTAAGATTGTAATTTAGTTAGTTGCTTAGTTTGTTATCTGGTTGGCTTTAGACCACTGTTTTTGGTTTCTATTGCATATATGATTTTGAAGATGGTAATTTGATTTGAGATACCATCACTTTGTCAATTTTGTCAAACATAGGATATATTTGGGTCGAGAAGCAGTCTTGTTTATCCATCTAAAGTTCCTAACTCTTGCCTATTATTTTTGTATGGTTGCAATAATTAGTGATATATATATATATATATATATGTATATGTATGTATGTATGTATGTGAAGTTGATAATTAAATCGTTGACTTGGTTAAATTTTGAAGTTAAATGTTTGCTAAAAAACCTGTAAAATTTTCAAATTAGATTTCTATTTGCTTTCATACGAGTTTGATTATAGTTTCTCTGGTCTCATCGTTGGTTGTAAATTATTTCTTGTAGATAACCTTGTAAAGAATCATGGTTTTGAGGAGGGTCCTCATCGATTAGTAAACACCTCCAATGGTGTCCTCCTCCCTCCAAGACAAGAAGATCTTACATCTCCACTCCCTGGCTGGATGATTGAATCGCTTAAAGCTGTGAAGTTCATAGACAAAAAGCACTTCAATGTTCCTTTTGGACTCGCTGCTGTCGAGCTTGTTGCAGGAAGAGAGAGTGCAATTGCCCAGATCCTCAGAACAATTCCCAACAAAGTCTACGGTCTCACATTCACCCTTGGAGACGCAAGGAATGGTTGCCATGGATCAATGATGGTCGAGGCATTCGCTGCTAAGGATACCTTTAAAGCTCCATTCGAATCCAAAGGAAAGGGTGAATTCAAGACCGTAACTTTCAAGTTCAAAGCCATTTCACCTCGGACAAGAATTACATTTTACAGTTCATACTACCATACAAGGATTGATGACTTCGGATCCCTTTGTGGTCCTATACTCGATGAAGTTAGGGTATTCCCTGTTGCTTAGATGTTAGTTCTACCTTTGTGCTTCCATTATTAGCAAACCACACGTTCCTACTTTTTACATATAGGGATACTGCAACAGTTATTGCAGCCGTTGAGGCACATGCTCTGCTTTTGGATCCATATAGGCCATGTGGTCTTTTGTTGTTGTATGATGTTGCCTTCACGTGGTGTCGGCAGAAAGAGCCTTATGGATAAGAGTAGTCGAAACTATGTAATTTTCTATTTCTAGGATATCTTACCTAATGGCAACAACTTTATTTACGTATGATCAAAAATTCAAAATTTCAAACTTGAGTTCGACAAGATCAGTCCATCAATATGGCTGATATGGTATTTTTTATTTTCCTTAAACAATAAAGGTGTCTTTCTTTGTACCAGGTTTCGTATATCGATACGAGATCTCTATCAAAATACATCTTAAATAGGCCATTGGAATTCAAAAATTAGATATAATGTGAAGCACAAACTCATTTATCCATCATGCTAAGCTTCCAAGATAATGTTAACTAGAAGCAATAAACTTCAGGATGTTTTAATTGATGGCATGATTAGCGGAACAGCTTAACATACTGAATTATGTCATCCAATATGATCCAAATTCCAACCGAATATCAAAACCTCATCAATAAACCATGTGTCTAGTCCATCAACATGGTCAATTACAATTTACATCCACAAGCGTTTCGATGAATCAAAAGCTATGAACTTCAGGATGGACCCAATGTGCTTGAAGGAAAAATTGGTTCCATACTCCCATGTCTCATCGTCACGAGTGAAATCCAGCAGCATCTCTCAATTCGTTTGTTACATTTAGCAGTCATCATTAACTATGTCATCCATAACAACCTTTAACCAAAAAATAAATACAAGGAAAATGTGGTTTATTGTTTTATTACACCATCCCAACAGCATCAAAGGCAATTTCATAAAGAAGTGTAATAACATTATTATTTATCATATCAACAATGTCAAATTTTATTTCTGTTACAGAAGACAATCTTGTACATAACCAATACACGGAACCATCACGGCCAACAGTCTGGTGTTATTGCCCCCTATCCAAAAAATGTTAGGACATCGCTGCGACAATAAGCTTACACAGTTTCCATAGGAAAATTAGAGAGGTAGCTCTGCTTCATAAGATGATTATGCCAATGTGGCCAAGATCTACTTATGAAATGCAAGATGTAACTGTCTTCACTGACCTACATCCAAAGTGCCCACAAGGCACTTCTCCAGCAAGAATTCAGCATTCACCCACGCATGGTATTTGTCTGAAATAAAGGGTTAAGGATTGCAATTTGTGCAGCAAAGTTCAACAGTTTAAGAAAATAAATAAAAAATAAAACTCGCTCATGCGTTGGAAATCTGTTCCTTTTTTTCCCCTTGGAAGCAAAATCATGCACAACTTCTTAATTAAGCAATAAAGGCAAGCAGGTTAAACTGAACTGATAGACTTTCCGGTGGATTGAGCTCGACCATGATTAGTAATTCGCAGGTGAAACAGAAGATAGCTCACTTTTGGGCCATCCATTATCAATATAGCTTCAAAGAAAAAATAAAACCACATAACTCTTAGCAATTTCAAACTGGGTTGGCATAAATTCATCGTCTACCTTGTTCATTTTTGCACAGCCTGCAAAAAAGTTAGATGTTTCACATGGGTTGATTATCCAGTCCAAGTTTATTATCTTCAGTTACACCAGCTAAAATTGACCAAGAAAAAATTCCAGGAAAGGATACTGAATAAAGATGTACAGTCTTTTCCTACTGCCTTCATCAGCATATCAACACCTGAAAACAGGAGTTTGTCATATCCTCATAGCAAGTCATACAAATCTGAAACTCTAACAAACAGACAGCAGCACAGACACCATATGGTAGTGACTCTTGGAATAAATGCCTCCGTAACTAAGCTGCTTTTACTATTTTAGCTATGGCGTTGGACACAAACATTTGTAGACTATATGCATATCATTATGCAAATGAAAGTGAACTGGCTGGTGTTGCATCATAGATAGGCCAATAGATGAAGGGCACCCTGTACTGCTTCAGGCATGATTAGCAAATCATTAGACCCTGTGTGTATGTGGAATATGCGTGTGCATGTGATTGTACATGGCTAACTCAAATAACTGATAGACTGATGCATGTAAATCGTATACACACAGGAGACATTGCAAGAAGCAACAGTAATGAAGTCATGTTCAATTTTACTTAAAGAAAGCGAAACTGAACTCACAAAATATTGGAAAATTTAAGGACATAAGATAATGCACACACCTCCTGGATGAAACTTCAGGTATGGAGACAGATTGTACACACGACCTTTTAAAACAGTCCACATAGATCCTTCTGTTTGGTGTTGTTTAACTTCATCCATTGAAATAAGCCTCTTGTTTGACTGTCCCTTCAATCCTGGGAACACAATCCATAAGTCATGAAGTGAAAGCTGAATGGTATTGCAGTAGTCACATTAGAAACAATCAAATGTTGTTTTCATTGGTTCACAAGGTGAAGCACTTCACAACATTAAATCCAGTTGTCATCAAAGTGCAACGGGAGGGAAGGAGGAAAAGTAAGCGGGGCACAACTTGGAAAAATATTAAAACTTTTCTAAAAAAAAATCTTCAAAAACTTAGCAATGTAAACAACCCCTTCCTAGGAGAAAAAAACACACAAGAAAGAAAAGAAAGCCCATGTAAACACCCACACATCCACCCACAAATGACATTTTTCTATAATCAAACAGCAGGGCCTGTTTGGAAAAATATTAAAACCTTTCAAGAAAGAAAGATCTTGAAATGCCTACTTGTTAAAACTTAGTTATGTTGATAACCCCTTCCTAAGAGGGAAAAAACACACAAGAAAGAAAAGAAAGTCTATGTAGAGACCCATACACCAACCCAAAAATGATATTTTTCTATAATCAAACAGCGCATGGCTGTAAATTTAACCATCAAATGTCTTCCAATCTGTTGACATATGAACACAAGTATCACTGTTATGCACACGCAATAATACAAGCAGGGATGTGGACAAGAACTGCTTGAAAGCTTTTCAAACAGACAGATCCACAACATATATTTAAAGCAAATGTTCATATTTTCATGTGAAGGTGTTGAAACCCAATGCAGATTTGGACTATGGCTGTGACACATCTCCCAATAACCATACCAGTTCAGTAAATTTGCATCAACTAAAACATATTCTGCCATGGATAAATATTTGCAAGGCCAGTATGGAATCTTCTAAGACAACACTTTCTTACACTGTAGGGACAATTTCAAGGTGTGAGCATGTTTCTCAATTGATGTTTACACAATGAGCTATAACAACAGGAATCTTAATCATCCTTCGAGGAAAACTCAAGTTGTGAAGGCTTTAAAGATGGAAAATAAAGATGATGCAGGACAACTTAGTAAAATGGCAACTATGTGCCAAATACTGTAAAGAATGCTACAATAAACATTAAGAATACAGAAAAACAAAAGTAAAGAAACATACTGGCAGCAAATTTGCAATTTTATACCTGCAAGATCAGGATGAGTTTGAGTAAGTTTAAGCCAATCCATTTGGCTATACCCTTTCTCAAATGGAACCTTAGCTCGAGCCACAGGCTTCCTAACGGAAACTTTTTTTCCTTCAGATTTCTTAGCTGAAGTTCCAGTATTTCCAGATGACACTTGTCTAGACATTCCACTAGACTGTCCTGGAGCCGATGCATCGATAACATTGAAAGACAAAGAACCGACAGTTCTCTCATTCTTGGAACCAACATCATTAGGCAAACTATCTCTCCGTGCAATACCAGCAACACCCTGATTACTAACAGTGCTATTTAAAAATCCATCTTTAATACTTATACAATCAATATCCGATACAAGATTCTTCACCTCGAGTCCATTTTGATCAACAGGTAATCCAACCTAATTTCAGAAGCGAAAATTTTAATCTCAGAAAATATAAGAACTCCAGTAGTCGAAATTGCTTCAAGAAAAACAAAATGTGACTGCAATTAATTAATCAAAGTAATTAAATAAACGCAATGTAAATACCTGGCAAAATGTGAAATCATTGTCATTATCCATTTCACGCTAAAATTAATTAAGAAATTAGCTCAAGCAAGATTTCCTGGCAAGTCATACAATAATAATTAGCTACAACTATTCAATCGATTATAAATATTTTTAAAAATAAATCAAAAAGAGATAAATGAACTGATTTAACTGAATTTTACGCCTTTTAAAATTGGTTAGATATCTAAACAGCAGCAAACGCAGAAAAATGATTTCGAATTTATCAGAAATCAAAAAATTACTTACAATTGGAAAGAACGTGGTGAATTCTTGAAGTTCCTGGTGTAAAACGCTGCGTTGTTAATGTAGAGATGGTTGGTGCGAAGATCAATTGGTTCCTTTTTCTCTGCTTTCTGCAGTCAAAAGCTCGAGGGAAATGGGTTTATTCGTTTTTCGGGGGGCTTTTCGTTATTCTCAGTTTTGGTTTTGCGTTCTGTTTTTCACTGCTGTAGTCAAATAGTCAATTAAAACTGGCCACGTGGTTTTTAATTGATTTTTTAAAATGCCCTTTTTGTTTTTGCTTTTTCTTTTATTTGAGGTTTCGTATGACGGATTGCTAGGTCATAGCATCGGGTCAAAGTTCATTTATGCCGCATTTAAAAGGAAGTTTATTCAAACTTGATCTAGGTTTCAAGGACATAATTTTTTTGGCAATATATATATATATATGATAAACAATAACAATAATTCATAATTAGTCATCTAAGGTTTTTTTACTGGAGGTTAAATTGTTTTTTGTTTTTATGAATCAGTAAATATGGACGACGAGAGCATTAATACAATAGAACACAAACACAAAAATTCAAGGGAAAATAATTCATTTCTAATATTATTATTTTTGGATTTTGATTTCAAAAGAGAACTTAAAAACTGAAGTGACGAGGAATTGGTCTAGACAACGTAGTGTTAAGGCACTGAGAGGATTTTTAGGCATGACGGGTTATTACAAGAAGTTCGTAAAAAGATTATGGAGTCATTAGCATGCCTTTAACTGATTTGCTAAAGAAAAAAAAGTTCTAATGGGATGAGGAGGCAGAGGCTACATTTGAGAAATGGAAGATAGCAATGATTGCCACTCAAGTAATGGCTTTACCAATTTTTTCAAAGCTTTCTATTTTGGAATAGCGACTTTGGTATGGGAGCGGTTTTGTTGCAGGATGATAAACCCTTGGCATATATGTCTGTAAGTATTTGAATAAAAGACATTTGCGTTCATCAATATATGAAAAGGAATTCCTGGCTATTTTACTGGATGTGAAGAAGTGGAGGCATTATTTGGAGCATGATAAGTTTGTTGTTAAGACTGATCATAAATCCCTCAATTACATTTTTAAACAGAGGATACACTTTCCTAATAAGAAAAAAGGTTTGACAAAACTGCTAGGTTTACATTATGAGATATTGTATAGAAGCGGCAAAGAAAATATTGTTGATGATACACTGTCAACGAGATAAAAGTTGGAGAATGCTTAGCTATAAACATTGTTGTACTTGAATGGATACAGAAGGTGCAATCTAGTTATGAGAAGGATGAAGAAGGTGAAGGAATTGATTGTTGTTCTTCTTCTGGATGTTGTAGTTTGTCTATGGTACAATTATAATTATAGCTTTCTTAGATACAAAGGCAGGATCTATATTGGTGATTCTGACACTGTAATAATTGTGTAGCTTTAAAAGGTTCATGAGAATATTGTAGGGGGGAATGGTGGAGTGAAAAAAGCTTATAAGAGGATTAAGCAGCTGTTTTGTTGGCCTGATCTTAAGAAAAAAGTGAACGAAATGGTGAGTACTTGTGAAGTTTGTACAAGGAACAGACTTGAGAATATGGCTAATCCAGGTCTGTTGAAGCCATTCTCGGTTCCATCACATTTTTGGAGTGATATTTCCATGGATTTTATAGAAGGCCTGTCTAAATCTGAAGGGCATGATGTGATATTGGTTGTAGTTGACAGGTTCACCAAATATGGACATTTTCTAGCATTATCTCATCAATTTACTATAGTTCAAGTTGCTAAACTATTATTGCAACAAGTCTACTAGTTGCATGATATGCCAACAAGAATAATGTCTAGTAGGGATAAGGTGTTACAAGCCAATTCTGGAAAGAGTTATTCAAGTTGATGGGAACCCAGCTCTATCTTGATAGGCAAACGGAGAGACTGGACTAAATATTGTAAACTTACCTGAGATGTATGACTTTTCAAAAACCCAATCAATGAAATAGGTGGTTTTTGTTTACTGAATGGTGGTATAACACAAGTTTTTATTATGGAACAAGCATGTCCCAATGCCAAATATAATTATGGCGCTCCAGCTCCTCAATCTGACTATGGTATCCAATATGATTCTACAGTTGCATCGGTTAATGAATTATTACTGTCATAAGCTAATATTCTTAAGCTGTTTAACCAGATTCTTGGAGAATCTTTACAACAACATATTTATTTTCATAAAAAACAAAAAACAAAAAAAAGCCATAATTGTTACAGTGCAGCGGACTGCCATCGAAATACAAAGTACGAAAGAAATTCCAAGAATAATTGTAATTCTAAAGGGTTTTTTAATTTAATTTATTGAATTCAAAACTTAGAGTTTGTATATAAAATTTTTTTATACTTCTGAATGCATCTGATCAATATAAGAGATGCTTTATTAAGAGTGTTTTAAAAAATAATTTAGTTTTAATTAATGTATGAGTTAGTTTAAAAATACATTGATCCTCAAATATAATTTATTATTATTATTATGTTAGGTATGAAAACCAACTTTTCACTAAATTGTTGAATTCTAAAATTTTTTTTAAAGAATATAATTATTTGAAACTAAAAAAAAAAAACACTTTTTTAACAACTTGTTAATAAAAAGCTAATTTATGGATACGTAACTTTATGGTAATTGAGAAAACAAAATCAATGAGACATTTTCATTAATTGAAAAAAAAAAAAAAAAAAAAAAGAGAAGGTTAACGCTTCATGCCTCCACGTAGGGTGCATCGTTGTGTCGCTGGCTTGCTGCATACAATGAGTTAGTTGATGAGAACCTGGTTTGGGCCCGGTTTACCTTGGAGCTGCAGGACCAAAATCTAGACAAGGTGTTGTACTGTGACAAAGCCCATAAAAATCCTGCTCTCCCACAATAGAGTTTATGGGCCAGATCCCAGAAAATGTGCGGTCCCACAACTGGATTATATGGCCAGCCATGGCTTTAGTATTCTTTTATTATATTGGTTTAGGATCCAGTGACTGAACTGCACCACTTCAGAGAGTCCAACTCCTCTGACATAGATCCATATGCACGTGCAATGTGGTGCACGTGTCGATCACGTGCAGCGATGGCTTGGCAAAGAGCATGGAATCTTTGCTGTTGTCAAAGGAAAAGACAATTTTATCTGCGCTGTCTTTCTTGTCGTCTCTTGAGTAAAATTCTCTTCCGCAAAGATTTTCTGTTCTCTTACTCCTTAGGGCTCAGATCAGATCCTTAAGTATCTAACTTATCCAGAAGCCGTTTTATAAAAACACTCCTCTAGACAGAACAATGCTGTTTTATAAGAGGAAATTCTGTTAACTATTACTAGAAGAATTAAAGTAAAATCATCTTTTACTATTTATATAATTATATAAAATACTATTCACACACTCACAAATAGCTATTCCTTTTATTATTTATGTCACTTCTGTAACACTTTGGTCTTCAATGTTTTTATACTTTTTTTTTTAATTTTAAACTTTAATTATATTGTGATTTGATCTCATTTTGTTTTAGTGTTTTTTAATTATTTTTATTATTTAAAATTTACTACTTTAATTTGTCTTTTTTTTAATATAGTCATATGTTATTAATATTATGATCATATTATAATAATATTATTTTTCTACACTAAGCATTTATTATTTATTATTTATTTATTTATTTTTGAATTAAATAATTACAACAATGTTTTGGCTTAACCACTCAATGATTCACATTAATATAGTTTTTTATTTTAATATTATTCATTCTTTTGTAAATAAATATATAAAAAATAAATTTATATTTTTTCAAAAATCGATATTCTCCTCAACATTAAATAAAAAAATTTATTTTTTCTATTCAAAGTAAGCTTTTAATAATTGTTATTTATGTTTTTTGACATAATCTTATGAAATACTAAAGCTTTTTTAAAAAAAATTATTTAATTTTCTTTTTAGTTAATAATTCATGGATTAACAAGGATAAATCCTTTTTCTAAAGGAAAAGTTATGAAAAACACAAAGAAGAAATAGTTAAATACAAAATTTTTTATTAAAAAATTATAAATAATTTTTTTCATCTTTAATTTCATATATTTTTATAGTTTCACACCATAAAACGGACTATCAAACTAAAATAATTTTATATATTTTATTAAACTCGAAGCGTAGTGCAGGCAAAAAAAATGAAATGAGAAATAATTAAATAAATAATTTTTTATTAAAAAATTATAAATAATTTTTTATAGATTCACATCATAAAACAGACTATCAAATTAAAATGATTTCTCTAAATGATTTGATATATTATATCCAACCCGTAACATAGCGCAGAGAAAAAAACTAATTATTTACTTTTGAATAATCTCATTTTGAACCGAGTGAATTTTGTTTTCAGATAAATTGAAAATGCCAATAATGAGAGACTCCTATCAAATGACGGTAAAAGTAATTCTCACCAATGATTTTAACCGTGTTCTTAATTTACCATCACAACATAACAACATTCTAGAAAATAGAAACTATCATAATAATAATAATAATAATAACGATAATGATAATGATAAATAATGGTAGGGAAATAACAAACATCCATGGTTGAGCTTATTCTAATAATAATAAAAAAAATTATAAACCAGCAAACACAAATTATTGAGAATGTTAATTTTGTAATGTGGCTCGTTTTGCTCAAAACAGTTAACATTTACCAAATAATTTGCCACGTCACGTGTACTCTCTCTCTCTCTCTCTCTCCCCTCAGATTAGCCAATAATTTTTTATTTTTTTTCAAATCTCTCCATTTATATAAATGACCCTTTCAGCTAATCCACCTGCCACTTTCCCCTCCGCCTTTTTGGTCTCATCATCCCAAATTCAAAAAGGCTCCACCCCTGATATCCACTTTTGATGTAATTCTTTAGACTTACTCAAACATTTCGCATTTCCATCCAAAACAAGAATCCAATCTGTTTCCACTGATTTGTTTAATTTTTCTCGTTTGTTTTTTAGATCTCTGTTTATTGGAATCAAGAGAAATGTCGAAAGCTGGTGCGTTGGATCTCGCTTCAGGTCTCGGTGGAAAGATCGATAAAAGCGATGTTCTCTCTGCCGTTGAAAAGTATACTTCCTTCTCTAATCATGCATGAATTAATCTTTCTGCTTTCTCACATGCATGTATTTTACTTGATTTCTGTAATCTCACGCTACAAACCATTCTCTTTAGATTTTTTTCTCTGTTGAAGATTCTCTATTTCTTCTCTCCGTATCTCTAGAATGATTGCTGACAGTCCGCTACTCTCTCTGTACGTTTTAATCTGTTTTGTAGAAAATTCAAAAAAAAAAAAATGAAGAAGAAGAAAGACAGAAGAAAAATCTGTGTCTTTCTAGAATGTCTCGATTTTATCTAACCTTAGCTTCTGTCTTTTTAGCTTGATTTTCAGATCTTATGGTGATAATTGTATCCTTTAGAATTTATTAGAGGAATATTTGACTTGAAAGACAGGGGCTGCTTCTTGTGTGTTTGGTAAGAATAAGAGTTGTGCATGGTCCCACTTTCTTGAATCTGACATGTTAACTATTTATTTCTCTGAGTACATAAATGGTAATTAGTAGAAGTTGATTGAATCAATTTTATTCGTTTTCTTTTTTCAAAACGAATGATTAGATTAGGTATGTTTGCTCTAATTTGAATTTGGGGAATTATGCAGAAAAATGATAAAAGTAACTTGGGCTGGCTGGCTAACATCCCCACCACATAGGGACCCAAAACAGACAATTATCCTTTCAATCATGACTTTATGTTGTTGCTCAAAATGAAACTGTGATTGATTTTTCCCTTGCGTCTTTAGGGTGTTGCAGGCTGTTTAGAGGTCAAGCTTTTATTTGCTTATAGTTTTTTTAAAGGTGAAAAGTGAATTCTATCAGTACATGGAAATAGGATCTCAAAAGAACCACACAAATATTCCTATTTTATAGGGAATTGATGGGCCTGTTTACTAGTGAAATTCCCAGAAACAACCTGAAGGATTAACGAAAAATGAAAAATCCCAGTACTCGGTGCGAAGATAGAATTTTATTTTTGCATGTACGTATTTTATTTTATTTTTTAATTATTTTTTCTGAGTTAATAGTGACGGCATTGTCATTGATGGTGAAGACTCAGTCTAATTTGGAGTTTGTTGCTGGTGTAATCTAATATTGAAGCCCATCCAATATAGTGAAAATAAAATTCCAAATATTATTGAATCAGAGAATAGTTTGGGATGGTCAATCAGCTGAATAAATTGATTGATCTGGTTAATTACATGAATGAACTTGCTGTGAGTTTAATTTAAACTTTCTGGAAATCCTTATGCAGCATGTGTGAGCTTTTTAGGTTTACAATCCTTAAATTTTCTTGGATCTTATCGAAAATTTGTGGTAAAAATCTCATATTGACAATCCAGGTATGAAAAGTATCATGTCTGTTATGGAGGTGATGAGGAAGAGAGAAAAGCCAACTACTCTGACATGGTAAGAGAAGGTCAAGTAAACTATCTTCTTAAGATTGGCCTTCATGTGTTTCCTGCCGCTAAGCTGCTCCTTTCAGTTTCCTTGTTATATTTGGCTCGGAAAACATTTTTTGCTTCGTCTTGTGTATTTATAGTCTCAGAGAGATGTATAATTTGAACTTTTGCATCTTCCATTTCAATGCATTTTCATTGGTTTCTAAATTAACTGCCAATTGATTGCCTAATGCTTGGAATACTTTATTGATTTATTCCTTGTGTCATAAAAACATTTAATATCATACTGCATGCAGAGTCCATTTCATAGCTCATAATATGTCAGAGAAGCTAATTTTCTTGTTATCCCTTTTATGAGTTACTACTGAATATAAATTAGTTTACTTGAAACCAAACAGTTAGATTTTAAATAGAACCCTGATCCATAAAAAAATCTCTTGAAACAATATTTTGGAAAACTTCCATGGCAGTTTTCCATGTAACTTCTATCAAGCCAACCTATTATCATCAAGTTTATTATTCGTAAAGTTAGATTCTCCTAACTCAAATAAGTCAGCTAGATATGAAACATGTATGTTCGCCCGATTAATCTTCTGTAATGTTTCTTTTAAGTACAAAAAATTGAAATTTTTTGTTGAAATAAGAATGACCAGTTCATTTCTTTTGGATGCCAATTACTTGCTGATCCAACCAGTAATATTTAACCTATACCTATTGACTCATTACATTTGGATTTCAGGTTAATAAATATTATGATCTTGTTACCAGCTTTTACGAGTTTGGCTGGGGGAGTCTTTCCATTTTGCACCCAGGTACCTTTTTCTGTCTTTACATTTTATATTGAAGTTCTGCAGGCATAGGCATATTTTATGCTACAACTGCTGCTTAAAAGGCTGATCGCAAGCAAAATATTTCTTGTTTCAGATTCAAAGGGGAGTCTCTTCGTGAGAGCATTAAGCGACATGAGCACTTTCTTGGTTTACAACTTGGCCTGAAACCTGGACAGAAGGTTTAACCTCTTCTACAGAATATTGTGAAACCAAAAGGAGATCTAATTTATTTAATGATTTTGATGCATTGACTTGACCTCTTTTTGTTAAAATAGGTGTTGGATGTAGGATGTGGAATTGGTGGACCTCTAAGAGAAATCAGTCGATTCAGGTGGGTGGAAAAAATTTCCCTGATAATGCCAGAAAAAAATAGGGTGCAGATTTAAGTTTTGCTAACCTGCATACTGACTTTATTCATAGTTTTGTCAGATGCATCGTCTTGCATTTTGTGTTGTAGTTGTTGTTGAATCCCCATATCGTGTTAAGTTCCTATTAATACTGTGTTTTATATTAGTTCAAAAAATGTAAGGATGACATATAGCTAGCTTCATATTTCATTCTTAGCTATACAAATGTTCTGTTTTACTTGGAAGCAAAGCAACTAATAATCGCTGTACAGGCATCCTACTCTGCTTCTTGTTATGTAACTTCTGTAGTGATTTGGTGGTATTTTTAAATCTTTACTGGAAGCGGTAGAAACAATTGTTGGATTGGTATCCTACTTGGCTCTGTCATTACAATAAACAATGTTTGTAGTCCTTTGGTAGTATTTGCAACATTTATCATGCAAATGGTCGGCCTTGTGTGGAAGCAATACAACTATTGATTGTTGGATGAAAATCTTACTCTTCCGTATGGTTGTGACAAATAAGTTCACTTTCTTTTCATTACATTCCTATCCATGAGAGTGCTTTAGGCATATCGTAATTTTTGTGATGATGTGCTGCAGCTCAACATCAGTAACAGGGTTGAACAACAATGAGTATCAGATATCAAGGGGAAAGGTGCATGCCTATCCTTTTCATCTATGTCACTTAAAAGAATGGTGTACTTGCATTTGATGGATTGTCTGAGATTGATCGAGTTTATTTGGATTCGATACTTTTCACTTTGAATTTGTTAGCCACGACGTTTTCAGAATGTCTTTGAATCTTACTGCCTATACTACTTTGCAGGAACTCAATCGCATTGCAGGAGTTGACAGGACTTGTGATTTTGTGAAGGTTGGTTCTATTCTTGGTATAAATTGAAGTTCTTGTCAAGTTCCTATCTATTAAGCACTTACGTTATTTTTTTTCTTTGATGTGTTGTCAATATGTTGAACTTGGTTTAAAATTTCAACATTTACCTGTGATGTAAGAGTTCTAGGACATGATTTTTAGCTTTTGCGGTGACCCATAATTTTAGTTGTTTCTTGATTATGCAGGCTGATTTCATGAAAATGCCATTCCCTGATAACAGTTTTGATGCAGTCTATGCAATTGAAGCTACTTGCCATGCACCTGATGCAGTATGTTCCTACAAAAACACAACTTATATTTTCTGATGTTGTTGCCACACATATATATGAAAACAGTATTGTATATTTATAAATAGGTGCTTCTCTCTCTCTCTCTCTGATCTTTGTTAACATTTGTTTTTTCTGGACAGTATGGATGCTACAGTGAGATTTACAGGGTACTGAAGCCAGGACAATGTTTTGCTGCATATGAGTGGTGCATGACTGATTCTTTTGATCCAAATAACCAAGAACATCAAAAAATTAAGGTTAGATGTTTTAGGTTTCTATAAAGACCTCCTGCTTTCTATTAGTGATTCCTATCTTCATAATCATGAATTTAACATATTTTAATTGGTGCAGGCAGAAATAGAGATTGGTGATGGCCTTCCAGACATTAGGTTGACTGGACAATGCATTGATGCTCTAAAGAAAGCTGGTTTTGAGGTCAGTGAACAATCTCTTTGTCTCTTTCTTTTTCATGATTGATATCTGAAACATTTGATCATGATAAGTGGTCGTTATTATTCTGCCTGTGAAGGTCACGTGGTCAAAAGATCTTGCAGTCGGCTCACCTATGCCATGGTACTTGCCTTTGGACAAAAGTCACTTCTCACTGAGCAGCTTCCGTTTAACAGCAGTTGGGAGATTCTTCACAAAAAATATGGTAAATATTGGTCCATTATGTTTGGTTCTCTGTACTGTTATCACCTTATTGTTTGGCATTCCACTTGTATTCAAGTGAGTGAACTTATATTTCCTATTATTGTAGCCCACATGGATGGTTAACTGGTAATTCGACCTGCAGGTCAAAGCCCTAGAATATGTAGGACTTGCTCCCAAAGGAAGCCAAAGGGTTCAAGATTTTCTTGAGAAGGCTGCGGAGGGATTAGTTGAAGGTGGAAGGTGAGTTTTTCTGTTATCATGTTAAGCTTCCTTTCTGGACCCTTATGTTCAGCCCAAATGGTGCTTGCGTTTTTTACCAAATTGACCACCTTACGAAACCAATTTGAGCCTCGAACAGAAGCCATTTTTCTCATCTTTCTATTTTAGTCTGGGACAGCTTGTAACAAGCTCCTGGTCCACAAATGGGTTGGGATGCTTCCCCCTTGAATTTTTCTTATCCCAACAGAAAGTTGAGACGAATTCCTCTTATTAATGATTATGAGGTTTCCTAATACTTGGGTTACAATATTAATGACAGTATTTTGCTATTATGCCTTTCAGGAAGGAGATTTTCACCCCACTGTTTTTCTTTTTGGCTCGGAAGCCGCATTCAGAGAGCCAGTAATCTGATGCAAACTCTGCTGCTTTAGTTGTTCAAATCTTCTTGTCATCGTAATGGGTAGTGCGTTCCTCGGATCGACTTTTGACAATGCTAGGCTGCTGCTGTATTGTGATTCTCTCAACTCTGTTCAGTTTTCTAAGTTGATCTGGGCTGTACCTCTCGATATTTGCTTTATAAATTTTATCGGCTTTCTGCCCTTAAACCAATCCAACGAGCAAAATTTTACCCTAGCATCTTTTGTTTTTCGGTTACCAACTTATCAATCTTCTGAGTTCTGATGGCACCACGTTCCTGTGCTTGTCCGAGTCATGTGCCCGCCATGGGCTTGCGACAATTTTTATTTCTTTTTACCCCCACGACATGAGGAATTTTGTTTCCAGCCAGCCGGTTGAGGATATTTTCGGGATTGACAGGTATCAACTTGTCTGTTGGACTATCTATTTGATTGAAGAGATCCTGTATTACTGTGATGGTGATGGAAGATGAATCTGCTCTGATATATTCAAGATGCGCATGACGCATAACCTTTGAAAGATATATATTCGCAGGGCCCACTGAACTATTTTTCAGCCACAGGCCACATGTAATGGCGCCTGTTATGTGAAGTTTGCTAATTGGCATGGCAGTAATCTAGCGAACAAAAGTATGGAATTTTCAGCGAGTTTCGAAGGGGCGCCTAGTTATATTTCGACGATTAAAGGGTTAAGAAGTAGCTCATAAGAATGATGGGCTAGAGTTAATTACAGTGAGGAGTGTCTCTCTAACATCTCTCAAAAATACAGTTCGAAAAACGTTTGTTTGACCGCTAATATCAATGGAATAGGCAAAGCCATGTTCAGTACTGTAAATGTAATATATTAGCTATCAATTTACCTCAAACCCTAACTTGTGTTTCCGCACAAGGAGGTTTTAGAGCACTTCCGACTTTTCGATATTAAAGGGCAAACTCAAATCAAAGAATCTCCAGCTCAAAAGAAATGAACTAATTCAATTTGACCAAATGATTTTGCTGGTTGCATTTTGAAAAATGTGAATTTTGGAAATGAAAGTAAAGAATCAATTGGCTGCAACTTGTAACAGAAAATGTTAGCGAGAATCAAACAAAAAGCGTTTGCTTAAAACTAATTCAACGATTAGTGAGAATTAGTCGCCTTTAGGAGGCCATTGCTTAAAACTTCGAACTCCCACTAATAAATTTGATTGGCAATTCAAACAACGATTTATTGCTGCTAAAACCGTGCTAAGACAATCTCGAAAATAACCGACGCGAGGGAGCTATCAAAGATTCAAAGTTTGGTGTAGAAGGCAGGCTTTGAAGAATAGCGTCCTTATGCCGTGCGAATCTTAGCCAAACTTGGGCACGTGGAGGGAGAAAAGACAACGTGTACTTTATCAAAATCCGCCCCAATTTCTCTTTTAAAGAAAAACATTTAATCACCCCAATTTCGAGTAAATTATACATTAGTCCCTATATTTTAAAAGAGAATTAATTAGTCTCTCTTGTTCCAAAAAATAATTATTTAACCTTTATATTTTTTAAATTTACTTATAATTTAGTCACTTTTTACTTTTTTTAATTTAATTTATTTTTTATTTTAAAAAATAAAAATATGAAAAAATATAAAAAGATTGATGATAAAATAAGAGGTTTTATAGAATAAAATAATATTAAATTAATATGATCAACACTGAATAAAAAAATTAAATAATAATTTATGAAACAAAACAGATTAATTAATTTATTTCTTAAAACTAGGGGGACTAGTTTATAATTTACTCCCAATGTCCTTTCTTTGGTTTCGGACTTGATAGTCAGAAGAGGCCATTATTGCTCTGACAAATTTAGCCCCTCTCTAGAGAAATTGGCTGGAGGACCTTTTGCCTTTATGAAAAAAATAAGTAAATTGTCTATATTTTCATAATTCAATGGCAAAAAAAATGCTATATTAAACCCGTCATGATAATCTGAATTCTTAGAAGAAAAACCGCCAGTGAAATGCCTTCTGTCTCTATAAAAAGTTTAAAATAATAAAGAAGAACTACTAATGTTTAGATTATAAATTTACTTTAGGAGGACAAAAAAAAATCGTATTTAAACTTGCTAAAGTAGTAAAAATATTTATACTTAAACTGAATATTTTATTTTTTCTATATCTTTCCATATTTATCTCTTCGTTAATTACTATTAACATAATATAAAATTTCTCATAGCTGAACATGGAAGAAAATTTCCCGTCTGATTAGGATGCCGAAGAAATTTTATATTACTTCAAAAATAAACTATTAACACTTAATTAATAAAAAAGGTATAGACAAAAAAAATAAGAGAATTTTTTTAAAAAAATTAAACGTATATAAAAATCTTTTTATCATTTATATTCAGATATGATTTTTTTATATCTATTTTTTTAATAAAAATAAATCAATAAAATAGAGAAAAAATAAAGAAAATATGAACAAAAAGAAAAAAGAAAAATTTAAAAAATTGAACTTATATAAAAATCTTCTTATTAGTTGGATTCAGATGTAAATTTTTTTCAAATGTCTACGTCTCTTTAAAAATTAAGTTTATAAAATAATTATTATATACGTAATAATTGCTCTTGAAGTAATTTAAAATTTCCTAAGATGTCGCCTTAATTTTCAAATTTCATTTAAATCTGTTTACATACAATGGGATTTTGGGAAACTAGTCAGCGAATCTTAAGAATTTATTGCAGGGCATTAATAACTTCCACCCACGGCAATTTCCCATGTTTAGACCTCCAGCTAATGCTGTTAGTTGAATCAGGCTGGCAAATTTAATGGTCTTTTAATTTTGTCATTAACCCCTATTAACTCAGAAACTGTTACTAAAACAGTAACACTCCAGATTATGAACCATTCTTTGTCAAGTTATCACGCTGCTGAATTGAAGTTGCTTTTTGAAGGGAATCGGGTGGTCATAGATGGAATCAGAAGAAGATCTCAAACCGACCCAAAATCTTTTACAAAAACGAAAAGCCCCAACTTGTTTATTCTGTTCAACCTAATCACACAGTTTCTGTGTATCCCACAAGTTGTTTACTAACTTTTTCTCCCCTTAATCACCTACCCCTCGCATTCTAAAACATCACGGATGTTTTTTTCTAACAAAACACAAGAAAAGTAAATGAATAAATAAAACAATTTCACAGGGAATAGAGTCGAATAATTTTTTTGGAAAAAAAAAACCCAACCCAACCCAACAGCATCACCAGAGATTAAAAAATAAAATCAAAATTACCTAGAGAATAAAAAAAATACCAATAAAAAAGAATGTTCGTCAATAAAAGGAAATACACTTTAGATTTGAGAATGGGAAATGGAAACATCACTGGGTGAAGTAAAATAAAATATTCAACAGCTTATTTTTGCTGTAGAACATTAAATTCTCCCCTTATTTTTCCGTCGCTGTCAAACAGAATTAAGAATCAGCTCTCTTACGTCCACCCTCATAACTGCCTCTGGATTGCTGGCGGTGCTGGTGGCGCCTCCGCCGCCGTGTTGGTGGTGGTTGGGGTGAGGGTAGTCAGCGTTAGCCGGCGGATGGTAATACATGCGAGCAGTTTGTGGGCAATGAGAATGAAACCTTGCAGCTATTCTAAACATCTCCAAACACTTTCCCCCCATATTCAGATCTCTATATATATGTATGTATGTATATTCCTACGAGTCTTCTCTCTCTCGAAGAATTTCGTTGATGGAAAAAGAGAGAGAGACAGGAAGAAAAAACAAAGCAAAAGATGGGATGCTAGAAAACGTCCCAAACGTGAGAGCCCATGAAATGGGAGGGGTAAGGTTGTGTTTGTTGTCTATATTTATATATATATAGCGGCTGGTTTTGGTCTGTGTCTAGCTGGATTTCCTTTCACATGTGATATTCGTAGTAGCAGATTCATATGTTTTGTTTGCTAATTAATTTCACATTTTCCATATTTACTGCATTAGGTAAACGTACGTTATTTGCATAATGGGCCCTCAAATTTTAGGTAATTCTAATATAGGCATCATACGTTTCTTCTTTTACTACCTTTTGTGTGCATTTCTATTGTGGAAGAAAATAATTGAAATTACACAAGGAAGTTTTGTCCAACGATTGTGTACACGATCTTATTTTCAAATATATTTATAACTTTATTTTTTCTATTTCAAGTATTTTTCTAATTTATTTTAATGTTTTTAATATATGTGTTTAAAAAATATATAAAAAGAAAGTAGATTGGATGGAAAGATTAACGAGAACAAAAAACATTATTTTAGAAGAACAAAACTATTAAATTAAGTATAATCATCATTGATCAAATGACTATTTAATTATTTTTATGCTATAATTATTGTTTTATTTATTTTGATAAACTAGAGGGATTAATATATAGTTAACTTAGATTTTTTAAAAAATAAAACTAAAAAAAACCACATGCGTCACTTATTTAGGTGGAGGGGGTTGGGGAAATATTTTATACTTTGAGGTTTAAATATGATGAAAAATGTCTTTTACGCGACAAAAGACGGAAAATGCTTTTACTTGTAGGGAGCAAAATTGAAACCTTCTATAGAAGAGGGACTTAGTTTACTGCATTTAATAATATGGCAATTGAAACATTTAAGTCCAAACAGATTCTTCCCAGGAAAAAAAAAAAAAGTGTCCAATGCAAATAGTTATTACTTTGTCTTGGATCCTTTTATTTCTAATAAAATATGATCTACCATGTTTTAAATTTTACTATTAATTTTGAATTCAATTATTTGGCTTAAGTTAGATAAATAATAATAAATTAAATTATTTTTATTTTTATCATGTACTAAATCATAATCTTTCAATATTTTAAATTTTTTGAATATAACAATTTTGTTTCCTTAAAAACCTAAAACAATTCAAATATTTTTTCATGCATAAAAATCACATGAACCACACAACATGATTATAGAAAAAAAAAACATGACATGAGAAAATAAAAAAGAAAAAGAGAAGATAAGAAAATTCACGCAAGTGATAAATAGGACGAAAATCAAGGACTTTGACGCAATTTACAAATTACAATCTTCCCATAAAGAAAGGAGGTGGGAAAACCGAGTTAATTCGTTGAATGTTCGCGCCCCATTCGCCGCGTGGTGACTCCGGTTGTTAGGGGGTCAATAGCTCTCCCTTCCTCCATTTATGCCCTTCAGTTTTGTGCTAAATCACAGAATCTCTCCACGACTTCAACTTGTTCCTCTTCCGTCTTTACAAAATTGACCTAACGCACCAACGACCGTCCGGGTGTTAGCCACCCAATCAAGTTTGATGGGCGAAAGGAAGATCTGATTACAAATCCATCCCTTTAATATATATATATATTGGAGTTGGGGTTTGGGAGGGGTGTGGGTGTGGGTGGGTTGGGTTTGGGGTTGGTTTGTTGGGCGAAAGGAAGATTTGATTACAAATCCATCCCTTTAACATATATATATATATATATATTGGGGTTGGGTTGGTTTGTTTTGATTAATGATATATTTAAAATTATTTTGTACATCAACTAATACTAACTTATTTCTCAAATGATCCTAAAACCATATTCTTTACACGAGTCAGATGATTTTTTAAAAAATCAACATTTTTA